TTTACATATATTCTTGTTCTCGTATTTACCAAAGAGTATTGCTATTTTATGAAAATTACAATGTATCTCAAATTTTTCCAAAACCCATTCTTCAATCCTACACCATAAATCTTTTACTTTGAAACATTCTACAAACAAGTGGTCAATTGTTTCTATGTCACTTAAACAAAAAGTGCAAGCTGGTGAATCAATCAACTTCTATTTGGAATAAATTGTTGAAATGTTGATCTCATAACATACGATTATAGCTATATTTTAAGGCCAAGGCGATGATTCGGAATCTAAAGGAGTAAAGATTTCGATGGTGGAAATCATCGTACTGACAGAAAAAAAAATCAGCAGTATCATATATTATTATATCCTCAGCTTGAAGAGCGGGAGGGTATGTAGTGATCGGGATGTCCGTCCCTCCGTCTGCTACGCTTTGGGGTATCCATCTGTTATCTGCAACTCCTCTTACATAAAAAGATGTGTTTATGAAACAGCTTTGCCCCTTTATGGCAACATAGCGAAGATTAAACTTTTCTTAATTGTAATTTAAATATAATGGTACCCAAAGTAGGGTCTTCTCACAAGAAATACAATTGCAAAATAGGAAAGCCCTTGCACCACTTGTTCAAAATCAATGGCTAAGGATAAGTGTTTGAAAGGTAGGTCAAACTCAGAGGTCAAAGGGTCAAAGTTGATGGTTTCTTAAGAAAGGTTTAATGTCACAAGGATTACATTTGTGAAGTATGAGAGAACTAGTATCTACCGTTTAAAAGTTATAGCCAAAGTAAATTAAAAATTTGGCATTTTTGTGTAAAATGGGACAAACCCCAAGGTAAAGGTCAAAAGGTCAAATTTGGTGGTACCCAAAGTAAGGTCTTGTCATAAGAAATATACACATATTGAATATGAAAGACATAGCTACAATAAATGAAAAGTTTTTGCGGAGAAACAGACCGCCAGATAGACAGACAGACATACAGACGGACACGATAAAACTCTATACCCCCGAATCTTCGATTACAGAGACATAAAAAGAAATGGTCTTCAATTAACTTTTCATATTATGATACAGTATAAAGAAGACGTTACAAAAATGAAAATGTTTGTTCTGATTTTCATATTCTCTGAAAAATATACTCAGAAATGGGTAAAAGGGTGGAGTAAAACAAGAATTAAGAAATGTAATGAATACTGTGTGCTAATTCAAAAGGTTATGTCTACATGTATAGTTTTTGCATTAGAATGTGTATTTTACACTAGCCCTTAGCTTTACATTGCATATTTTTAGCCGTCATTCCCACCCCACCCCCTTACTTATTTAGGAGGAAGTCGATTATCAACAAAAGCAACAACAACAAAAAAAAACTACCCTACCTTTTTTTTCTACAAGGAGGGACTTAAAATAAGCTTAAAATAATCTACTATTCTACTAATTTCAACTGTTACTTTGCCACAATACTTTCAAGTATACCCCCACCAACATTTAAAGTATTCTTTAATCATGGCGAAGTAAATTATGATATGACAGAACTTGTGTGAAGGCTTAACTTCATTTCAATATTTTATCTAGAGCCTCTTTCAGTATATTTGAAAGGTATAGAGTTTTATTGATATTTTTGCTTTTCATTTTTTTTTGTTTTGATTTAAAGTTATTGGGGGGGGGGGGTTTAAAAATTTCCTCCTCTTTCATTGTCAAATAGGATTTTCCAAATTTATACAAGCTAAACGTTGAAATGAAGGAAAAATTAATTCTTCCATTAAAGAGTATTGGAACCTGATTGTTGCATGGTTTGATTTCTAAAAACAAGTGGAATATCATTCTTTAAGCAAACACTATAAGGAGGAATATCAAAAAGAAATTTTATTTACTTGACAATTAAAGAATCTCTTTTCACTATAAAGGGGGTCATTTTTCAATGGGGGTCAATTTTTTATAGGACTAACATATAAAATAATGACCCCTAGGACACTTTTTCTACAAAAAATGATTTTTTTTTCTACGGGTAGGGGGTCATTTTTTGTCGTTGAAAAATGACCCCCGGTCATTATTCGATGGGGGTCACTTTTCGTCTTTACACAGGAATTATTCAGAATATCACTTAATTGAGCAACATGGCAACAACTTCAAACTTTTTGGAATGTGTGGAAAAAGTACAGGTACTAAACAAAATAGTACAGTAGTACCGTCTCTTCAGAAGAAATTTGTAACACTAGTGATAAATATAACGATGGAATCAAAAAGAGCAGGGACAACACAACAAAAGAAACTAGTTACCAATTACAATGAAGACGATTTTTTATTAACATCTTAAAGAAGATCGAAACAAAAACATTTTACGAGACAGATGCCAGAAATTTCATACAGTGCAACATGTATATGTCCTTCATACACAGAATACTTTGGTAAGTACTGCCAGTAATGTTCGGTAAGTATTGCACCACAAAGTGAGTACTCAGCGAGATCATACAGTCTGTGGTACACCTGCATTCAGGTCGAACATAAGCTTCTAATATACAAGGGTATATATATACACAACACTTCCGAAGATAATTATGCAAATCTCACGCTAAACCAGATACATTCCATGCAAATTCTCTCGGCGTTCGTATACATCTAACAATAAGGCAAGCAATTTTCGCGAGGGTTTTATTGCTTTCTGCTCTGTTCCTAATACTTGGCACGCTTCTGGAACACAGTGATAGTACAAGGCAAAAACGAGGAAGAAACACTAGGTGTGAATTGTTGAAGGGTCTTTTCGAATTAACTATCTGGTAGTGCCTTTGTTATCGAGCTTTGAACTTGCTTACACTAAGTAAATAAATAAGTTTATTCAGGATATAACTTTGGGCAATACAGCCCATCAGTTTACAAAATGACAAATATGACATATAACATATAATACAATCAACTCTCAAAGAGTTTAAACTGGGGGTGAAACCCCAGGTCAAGTGTTCCTCAGTCCCACAGTTCCACTCATTCAGAGAATACAATTATAATGATTTTAGAATTAGCAGTACAGAATTATTCAAAGTTATAGTACAATATACAACAATGCAAAGTGCATTCTATAATAAAACAACCAATTGGAAAACCAAAACAAAACTATCAACAACAACATCGCTTTCAATGTCTTAATTGGAAGTGCTTTCTATTGTTATGGTGTTTCTGTTTGGTACATGTAACATCTGTTCGATGTGTATACGGTTTTATCACAGTCGTGTTTTCAATCAAAAAACAAACATAAAAGGTAGGTTAAAATGGGGTTTTAAAGAGTTATTACAACTTTTATAATCCTTAGTATTTTCAATTTATTAAATCATGTATGTTGTATATACACTGAGCACCATCCCTCGTAGATGCTTATTCTTGATATCATTTTCTCAAGAGTGATAGTGTTACATGGTTGTAGATTATTACACTATAAATTATAAATTATCAGACACAGTTAAAATTAATCTCTTGTAAAATGCAAGTTAGTGAAAAGAACTTGATACTTTGGCGAGAAATTTGGAAAGAGGATACTGTCTACGGAAAAGTAATTTCCTAACCAAATTCACATCTTCAAAACCAGCATATTAACCGTAAGAACTGTCAAAACTAATAACATAAAGCGACAATGTAATTAAACAAGCGCAAAAAGCAACTCTTTCTGGGAAAAATAGGCAAAAAGGTAATGGACCCTCAAAACCAATTAAAAACAAGTAGGAAAGAATCAAGACAAAGAAAACACTACATTACGTCTAACAAATCCTACCTAGCATCAAACTGTAAATACCAGTTGCTGAGAACTCTTCCTATATAATCCTATCGTAGCAAGTTAATATTAGATGTAGTTTATTCACCGAAAACCGAAATCACTCTAACTTACTCACTAAATTAGATCCTAGGACAATTTGTAACTACCCAAACGTTAATCTCGCTAAGAACATCTAACAAACGAGAGAGAGACATACCAGTACATTGATGAAGTAATTAATAGTAAAAGTGCATATTCAAAGAATCCAGCCCACCTCATACACGAAATACAGAGATATAGAACTGATAACATTTATTTACCTTGTAGAAAGAATCAGGAAAAGAAATGATGAGTTTATCGGCTTGGCATTTATGTGTTTATAATTACATTTTAACTACTTGGTGTAAATTTATTTTAATAAGAATAAAGACCACAAACACGATTTGCAGGTGGTTACGTAACCTAAAACATACAACGGTGATATGCAAATGGTTACGTAATCTAAAATAGACTCAGATTCTCCTTTTGCTGTTTTTTATGTAATAACGAGATAAAAATCAATAACCATATTTATGATCTCAGCGAGTATATATATTCACCCAGCAGAAGAAATGTGTACCTCTGTAGTTATTACATAATTTAGAAAATTTCATATGAAGGAATCCAAAAAAACTCATTTGTATGATGATGTAATATATAATGTCCCCAAAGATATTAAGGGTTATTTTCTGGTTTTCGTAATTGATATGCCTTGATGAATGTTATTTGGATATGAAAAAAAAATACGAGAGATATATTTGAAGATGGTGATGAGGAAAAATAAATACGATGCTAATGGTTTTGATGGGTGAAGATCTGGTAAATATCCTCAGAACTATTGATATACTACAGTATATAGTATTTATACCCCCATCTTTGGTATATTTCGACAGTAGCCATCTGACGGAATACCGCTGACAATATTAACAGAGGATAATTTGGAATCAAGATAAGAGATCAGAGAAAAAATAGATTGTTTTATATGCCTTCTGCTCGCATTTTCAAATTCAATTTTTTCCATGTAATTTAAGAAAAATTTAAAGAGCCCATTTTGAATTTTAGACATACATATTGTTTATATATGAACAAGTTGTTAAAGTAGTTTATGCACTCATAATTTTTAGTACGACAAAGATGTTGATGTAGAACGTATGCTTAGGAAAATGAAAGAAAAATGCGTTCAGCAATATATAATCAAAATAAATCCTTCAAGAATATTAAATGCAAACTCACCTATGTAGGAGAAAATTCTCTTTTTGTTGAAAATAATCCAAGAAAGTTCGAAGACTACCCTACAGTAGCAGCAACGTCTCGGCACTGCGCGCGCTAACTTTGGCAGACGATCATCTCTCTGCACCTTGAATGTTTTCCCAGGCACACTCGATGTGTGTTTACAATGGCCGTTATTATGCAGAAGATATATATTTATGGAAGGGAATTACCGCCAAAAGTCTATGTATCTTGCTTTTATTCTTATTCTGCCTACTTCTTTATGCTTTGTTATTATTGTAATTATATGTCACTTTATTGTTTTCATATTCGTCTTTATTACATTTCACTTTGACTTTTATCCTTCTTCATTTTTTCCTTACTTCTATGTTGCTTTATTCTTGTAAATTCATTCTACCTTCTTTTAAACTTAAACAGTTTCTTAAATAAATTATTCAATCACGCAAACAATGAAGCATATTCAATGAAGACTAATCGAAGTTGTCAAACCGTCAAAATTTAGTGCGGCATTATAACGCTAGGTGGTGTGGTGTTCGCTACGAGTGTTGGTAAAACTAGGTAACCAAACCCAGGTCGGGTTATTTGAGATTCTTAAAACGCCTTAGCAATCGAACTTCTGAAGGCCGGATCAAATAATCCGATCCAATAATGGAAACTCCATATTTATTTTCTCTGGGCACAAAGGAATAGCGGCCTCTTTTTTCAGACATAACTTTATACTATACTGAATATGTTCATTGAACGTAGTAAGAGTAAGGGTCAAATAAGTTTTAGTAGTACGTATGGTAGGAAAAAAAATTGAATTTGATTCTATAGAAGAAGTTGAATATAACCCAAAACTCACCCCGCCTTCGAAATAGGATTTTATTAGCACTGGAAGCAAATTGAAAGTATATAAGTGTAAGAATTTTTTAAGACCTTCAAAAAAAAAACCCGACAAGCAAAAAAAAAAAAAAAAAAAAAAAGAAAAGAAAGAAAAGAAAAGGAATGTCAATTTTCCGAACTCAAATATTCAATTTCTTAGGGGGGGGGGGGGGTTAGGTTCGAACTCCAGTGCCAAAGTTTTTTTTTTCTATACACCACCACTTTTCCCATTTTAAACCTATACTGCGTCGTGTCCATGGCAAGTGGGGGGTGGTCTAAACCTATGCTGGAACGTCTGTACTAAGTCTATCTCTGGAAAAAAAAGGTGGGTCCAAGCCCCCCCCCCCCCCCCACTACGGTTCCGACGCCTAGTATTTTCAAGTTTGGACAATTTCCTTTTTTTTTTTTTTTTTTTTTTTTGCGCTTGTCAAGTTGTTTTCAGCCGGGTACTTTAATATTTATTCTCTTGTTGCCCCCTCCCCACTTTCAAAAACGTACAATGCTACGTCACTGTTCTCTCGCCTGAAAAATATAACTCATTTAAAGTTAATTATTTGTTGGATAATTGAATTCCAGTTTAATTGATATAAAAAATGTTCAATATTTTGATATTAGTTAACCCTCATGAATTGGGTTGTTTTTCAGAACCTTCCACTGAACTGAACTTTATTTCACGACAGATAGTAACTGCTCATGCGCGTGATTCTAGGGACAGGGCTTTGCAAAGGAGTGAGGAGCGTTAATGTGGGTAGTCAGGCGCGGATCAAATTTTTTTTCCAAAGGGGGGGGGGTCCACCCCAGTCCAAAAAAAAAAGTCCAATCCCAGAAATTTCTTGACGAGCATAAAAAAAACCTAAACTCTCCCAAACGTCAAAATCCTATTTCGCGTAAATACATTTTAATTTAAACCTTGTAAATTCCAGGGGGTCCTAACACCCCACCCCCCTCTAGATCTGTGCATGGTAGGGGAAGTAGGAACTAGGCTTCGTGCATCCAGACATACTGGAAACTCCCTGGTCTTATTTTCAGCGTTGATATTTTATATTAAAATAGCACTTAATTTTCAATAAAGAAAGAAATATCTTTAGTACGCATCGTATTTGTGATCAGCCAGGAGAGCTAAAAAGTCTTAGAACTCGAAAATTCTGTTTGGTGGTGGTGAGGGGGGAGGGGTCGTCAACTTATTTTACTCATGCCAATAAGTACATGACTTTTAATATATGAATTGACTATTAGTACTGCAACAAAAAGGGTGAGGGATGGGGGCATATATGAACTTTTCCAGTAGTAAAAAGTTACGTTTAGGAAAATGTTTCGTTTGGCCACCCAGCCCTCTACCGGAAACTTACCCCATAGGAGGTCGTCCACCCGGAAGTCAGTATATATATATTGAGACTTTGGTGGTTTGATTGTACATTGTATAATGTCCCTTGCGAGAATTTTTAACTCAAAAGGAGAAGCCACATCTTGCCGGTGGAGAGTTGCAAATTTGTCCTATATACGTCTCGGCACTTATAGCCATTGAGCAGTGAGGGATCTTTTTTCGTGCCAGCACCTACTGCGACACGGGACCTCGAATAACAAGGTCTAGATTTCATCCGATGGATTGAACTCCACGTCCTACAGTGGGATTCTTACCCACGACGTATTGATCGACTCCTTACCTCTGTACTTCGTGACTCTAAAGCAGACGCCGTAACCACAGTGCCACGCGGGGTGGGGGGGGGGGGGGTCATTATCCATATGTACTCGTGAAGATTATCTATGTTTACATATTGGTTAAAATGATTTAATTATAAAGCACTTTTAAAATGATACTATTTAAATATTTATTCATACATGTATCATGTGTATAGGACGGATAACTTTTCTTCAAAAACTGAAAACGTTTGCAATGTATATATAAACATCGTTTTACGATTAAAATAACTATTCGGGGAGGGGTTGCTATGAAGGGGGGGGAATTGCTATTTATATCGAGATTTCCCACGGAAGACTTTTAAGTCCCACTGTATTCTTCCGAAGGAAGCATCACTATGTTGTCAGTCTTCCAGGAGAAATCTTACCATTTAGCGAGACTTCCGAGGGAATGGCAAGTATCGGGTACATACCTGAACTAACAACAAACATCATTCATTTAAAAATCTAAGTTCCATTGATAAAAGTATTAAGGCAGAAAATTAGAAAAAAAACTCGAATAACCCCGGCCCGGTTTGCTTACCTAATTTTACCAACACTCTTAGCGAACACCCCTGCCACCTAGCGTTATAATGCGGCACTAAATTAGGACAACTCGTATTCGTCTTCATTGAATATGCTTCATTGTTTGCGTGATTGAGTTAACGTTCGTAATAGAGATAATCATTTAAGATACTGTATCAATTTCAAAGAAAATAAAATGACTTATCAAGAATAAAGAAACATAGAAGTAAGGACGAAATGAAGAAGGATAAAAGTCAAAGTGAAATGTAATAAAGACGAATATGAAAACAATAAAGTGACATATAATTACAATAATAACAAAGCATAAAGAAGTAGGCAGAATAAGAATAAAAGCAAGATACATAGACTTTTGGCGGTAATTCCCTTCCATATATATTATGCACACGTTAATTTTGGCACAGATTGGAAGAGAACTTCTCTGTTTTGATGAAATCAGTCACCATTTTTCCGGCGAGAGACGCTTTGGGGCATTAACGTACATTTTTGCCATCTCAAGCGTAACAGCCTGTCCCGCATCAGAAACCTGACAGTTTTTTAATGATTTTTATTTTGACATCTGCAACATATGGATCAGCTTCAAAGTATGGTTTATTAACTTTGTTGCAGGAATGTTCAATATTCAGATATCAATTAAATGATTGTACATTTTTTTGAATGATGGATAATTCGATTTCAAGCATGGTTTTTTTTAGTGTCTCTGGTTTGTTTTAATGGTTTATGAAGTAAATTACTTGCCTATCGAAATAAATATTTGCATTCTCCAATGTTTTCTCTTGAAATTACACTACTAGCATGGCTTGGTGTTGGTTATCTGACCAAACATTCTCAAACGCAGGAACTTCTATGACGTCGTGCATGCATTACTGTATACTTTTCATAAGAAAATCCTACTTTTAATTTGTAAAATTACACAGGCCAATCAAATTTGAAATATAGATAAGAGAAATTATTAAAGATTTTTTTTAAAGTGGTACGTGATCAAATCTACTACATGTATTAATGTTAAGTCCTTCGGGCGTTTTAGGTTTCGGTCACGTGACCACCTTCAAGTCATTTCCCTATGAAACTCTAAATTGCAAAAAAGCTATTTTTGGTTAATGTTTTGATGAAAACCAGAAGCGCTTATTATACGAAAGTTTTCAAAATTGCCAGTCCTTTTGCTTTGTTTTTGCATGGATTATATCTTCCACTTTTTATCCCATCATTACACGTTACGCCATTTGAATCATTTTACAATTTTTAAATGACATGTATATAAAAATAATGTTATTTTGAGTTTTTTAAAGAACAAATATAAGTATGGCCTTCCAGTAATGCACAGATAACATCTGTAAATCGCTTTGTATATTTATATTTCCAATGTCTTTGTCCGAGATAAAATTACAAATAGTAAATGTACTTTATTTCTACATAAATCTACTGGTTCATCGATAGGCGCGGTTTAAAAAAAATCACGCACAGGGCGGGACAAGTAGAGACAGAAGCGGGGCTTAGAGCATGTGGATTGGCGGAATCAAGAGCATGTATAAATATAAGTAATGACTGTCAGATTTTCTGATTTCATGACGATGATCAATCAATTTTACAATTGATTGGCTTTCATTAATTAAATTAATGAAAAAACAAATCTTTGAAAATCTTTGCTTAATTACGTATGCGCGTTAACTTTGCTTTGTTACATCTTTTGAAGGTCGTAATAATAATATCGATTGGCTTGCATGATAATTTCAGGCACGTAGCAACGGGGGGGGGGGGGGGGGGGGGGGGGGCTGCCCCCCCCCCCCCCCCAATTTTTCCCAACATTACCTTTTCTATTGAAAATGTTCATTGAAAGGTTGGTTGCCCCCCCCCCCCCCCGCCCCCCCCCCCCCCCCCCCCCCCCCCCCCCTGTAGTATTGTACGCAAAAAAATTGGAAGTGAAAGGAAGTTGGGCTTGATAAAAGTTGCCCCTTCCCCCCCGAAATAGGATTTTCGAGTTTTGGCAATTTCCCTCTTTTTTTATTAAATTAATTTATCATTATTATTTTATTTTTTGCTTGTCAACTTTTACAGGTAATTAAAAAAGATTCTCTGGCTGGCCCCCCAACTTTCAAAAACGATGCTACGTGCCTGAATTTAATCACATCATGAAACCAAAATTAGACAGTTATTCCTTAGGGATCTTCAGTATGTTAACTGGAGTTGAGATATAAAATACATGTATATAGGAAAAGTTTTTAAACTCTCGTTTTTATCAGTATAATTACCCCTGTGACAGTTAATGTTTCTCGGGTCAAGGGTCCGTCCTCCAGTTTGGGCTAAGTTAAACATGCATTGAAAAAATAAATCTTTGAAAATCTTTGCTTAATTACGTACGCGCGTTAACTTTGCTTTGTTACATCTTTTGAAGGTCGTAATAATGCATTTTGCTTGAACGCATTTTTTCCCCGTTAATTAATATATATACCTTTCTTGCAATTTATATATTGTCCCCCGCTTTCGCGAAAGCGAGGGGACATTAAATCTCATTCGTTTGTCCGTCAGTCTGTCCGTCCGTCCCAAAAACTTTAACCTTGCCCATAACTTTTGATCAAGTGGAGCTATGACTTTCATATTTCACATGTGTATTCCTTGTGACAAGACCAAAAACTTTTGAACTTGACTTGCCCTTTTATAACTTTTGATCAAGTGGAGCTATGACTTTCATATTTCACATGTGTATTCCTTGTGACAAGACCTTTTTCAGTGCTTATTTTTAGTAACAAAAACACCAAAGACTTTTGAACTTTTCCACCTTTGAAAGAGCTTTACCTGACCATACTTTTAAATTTTTTTTACCTTGGCCATAACTTCTGAACAGTTAGGCAGGAAAATCCCTACCCAGCATGCTTCTCTCTGGGAAAACTTTACTGTATTCTATATGTGGCAATATCTTTCATTGGATACCAATTACCTTGACCTTGGATATTTTTGTACTTATGAAAAAACTTTAACCTTGGTCATAACTTTTGAACGCTAAGGGCTAGTGATCTCATACTTCACCTATGTAAACCTTGTGAGAAGACCCTTCATTGGATTCCAAGAACTTTGACCCTTTGACCTTGACCTTGGAGTTTGACCTACTTTTAAATTTTTTTTACCTTGGCCATAACTTCTGAACAGTTAGGGGTAGGGCTTCCATACTTTACTGTATTCTATGTGGCAATATCTTTCATTGGATACAAATTACCTTGACCTTGGATTTTTTGTACTTATGAAAAAACTTTAACCTTTGTCATAACTTTTGAATGCTAAGGGCTAGTGATCTCATACTTCACCTATGTAAACCTTGTGAGAAGACCCTTCATTGGATTCCAAGAACTTTGACCCTTTGACCTTGACCTTGGAGTTTGACCTACTTTTAAAAAGCAAACATTGACCATTACTTTTAAAGGGTTAGAGCTAGTGCTCTCATACTTTACATATTTAATCCTTGTGACAAGACCTTTCATTTGATAGCAAGACCTTTGACCTTGGGGTTTGACCTACTTTAAAAAAAATTTAACCTTTGTCATAACTTCTGAACGGTTAGGGCTACGGCTTCCATACTTTACATATGTATTTTTGTGGCAAGACCTTTCATTGGATACCAATGTCCTTGACCTTGAAGATTTCCATACTTATGAAAAAACTTTAACCTTGGCCTATTCACAATATTTCATATTTCACAATTGTATTTCCAGTGAGAATACCCTACTTTCGGTACCAATATATTAAATTTGCATTTAAGAAAAGTTTAATATTTGCTATGTTGCCATACGGAGGCATCAGTGTTTCACAAACACATCTTGTTTATTTTTGCTGCAGTTTTAATCTAAGATTTTGAACTTAATACATAAAAAGAAACCTATTAATATAAAGACAACAAGGGATCTTAGCATAAGCGTTATAAAATAATAATTATCAGTGTGGAATAAAAAATCTGAAAATATAAATGCAAATATAAAAAAACCAAAAAGTAGCAAAGGGCATTGCAAAGGAAAGGGACCAACAAAAAATCACATATAATGTGCTCTATAGTAAAATAAATAAATAAATAAAATCATGTAAAATCTAAAACAATAAAAACCTTACCTTGGGTGCCCTTGAGGGCCGATCCACGATATTTTTTTTCCAATTTATCATGCACCTAAAAATTAATTTTAAAAAGGAAGAGGGAGATTTTTGTTACTTTACCATCCATATTTAATAACTGTGAAAATATCACCCAGATGTCTAGAACCTCTTGACCTCCCAAAGCACTATATTTATTAATGTGTTACCATATGGAATTAAGGATGCTCTAAACCTTTAAAGAAAAATAATTTTTGTACTTTGAGAAAGATTTGTCCCATTAAGGTGGACTAGACCTACATAATTTAGTTTATTTATTTTCTTTTTAACATAAAAATACGGTACAACGTCTTATTTTCCCTAGAAAAATGTTCAAAGAAAAGAAATTGCTACAAAAATTACTGTTTATTTACTCATATTGAAAAAAAAGACATGTTAATAATGTAAACGATTAAATACTATAAAGAATACTTGAATTTCTTGTGTACAAGTTGTGTTATTCATATGTCTACGAAGATACCACTCTAACTAAATAAACTACATCTACTTAACGATTATTTAGTAGAACTCTTTGGTGTGTAATGTTTAGAGTATTGAACTTCGAAAAACAGCAATAAAGCAGCTCGAAGCAGTTCAACACTAGACTAAGGGAAACAACTCGCAAAACACAACAAATACGCGTCTATATTCTGCTTATTGTTGACTCAGTTAGGTATTGTTTCCATGCTCTCCATTCATTCTCAGCTGCCTGAACTTTGAGAGCCTGTGTAATGAATTGAAGAAGGAATTATCAACGGTAAGAGAAGCTTTATTATAATTTCAATGCAATAGAATTTAACGCGAAAAAGTTAACCTTATTTGACCGGATGGAGGATAACTCTGTTTTGTTTACATGACAGTTTGGGAACTCTTCATTTATTGGATATATTTAACTTTTATTGTGACTGCTAAAATAATGGACCAAGTCTCTATAATGCATTATAAAAAGGCATAGTTATTGAAAAAACCTTCCCCTTCCTCCGTCTAAAAATTTGCGAATGATGTTAAATTTTTTTTTTTTGAAAAAAAAAAGCTTGGAACATGCATGGAAAATGTGACCTTTTCCGGATGGTACTGGTTTAGAATGATGTTTTGTTAATGTTGGTACTCACATGGTGGTGTGCTTTCTTGTTCTCTATGTACATGTTTTATTACTGCCGCCCCCTCCTTTTGTAAAGTAGGTCGGACCATGTTCTTATGATTGGCATAAAATGTAGGCTATTTATTAATTTTTTTTCAAAGATTCATCGATTCATTCATCGTGGATCTTTATAATGTGTTGCATCCTTATCAACTTTTAACCGTAATTTTTTGAGCGGATGATACCATTATAGAATATTTTTGTGTTTAGGATTCTTTTATCTAGAGTGTTGAAAATTTTAAAATGATTATTTCAAGCCCTATGACAGTCAAAATTTCCTAATTCAAGCAGATTTACTATCAACTAATTGTAATAAGTTTTACTGACCTCTCTGCTCTATTAAACTGTTTTTAACCCCCCCCCCATTTCATTTTGTTTCTCTTCTCTTTTTTTTCTATCCATCGGGTTTTCCCTGCTCCTAGTCCATAAGACTACCCCTTCTTTTTTAATCCTTTCACATGAAGTCGTTTTGCAAAGTACTAAGTACACGTGAATAACCTTGCGACCGTTAACTAATTAGGCCTATTATATACATGTAGGTGAATGCATGACAGATGTTCTTCAAAACCAATAAATATAATAATATTTAGTGTATGAAAAATATCAAGGCTTTTCATACTATAATATGTATATTCTTTTTATAAGTTTAAACTGACATCATGTGCGTTTTTTTGTTTTTGTGATTATCTTTTAATGATTTTCGTTATATTTATTTTTGGGGTATAACTTTGAAATTGACATAACCTATAATAGTAGAATGATTAACCCATATTCTTGTTGTCTGTATAAAAATATCGTATACATGTTAAAACCAATAAATATAATAATATTTGTTCCTGTCTTGAAAAAGTGTGCTTGTTTATTTACTTCCCTTTATATTCTTTTGATATCCGATATAGAAACATTTTTGATTCATCTTTGATTAACCCATATTCTTGTTGTCTGTATAAAAATATCGTATACATGTTAAACATCCTTATAAGATTATAAGAATAAAAACGCTTTGTTCCTGTCTTGAAACAAGTGTGCTTGTTTATTTACTTCCCTTTATTCATAATTTTGATATCCGATATAGAAACATTTTTGATTATATATATATATATATATATATATATATATATATATATATATATATATATATATATATATATATATATATATATATATATATACTAGTATATAGCGTAAGTAACGTCTATCTTCGTATATAAAAAATGTACTTTGTCCCTTAAGGTAATGTTGTCCTCAGGTTCCGAAAATTTAGGCCTTTAATAATTGAAAATGCTCACAAAAATGTCTCAGAGTTCTCAAAGTAATGTGTATTTATTTTCCCACGGAACTTCTTCAAACTTCATCATTAAGGTTTTCCACCCTCACAATTTTACTGATTCAAGTTTTAAAAACTGCATTTATATTTATTAAATATAGTTTAAATTTACCAATTATTGCACAAAATGTATAGGTCGACATATAATTTAAGATCGAGACACAGATAAACAGAAGTTTATGTCAACAGAAAAAAAGTAATTCATTTTTCGAAAACACTATCATAAAAATTATGTAAAAACTGGCTCAAATGCATTATTCTGATGCTAAAAGACCCGAAATACATGTACTTGCTACATATTAGACATTTTGAATTGTGAATATCAGGGAAACTATATTACATTAGACATTCAATAAAGAAAATGCCTAAATGAAGATACAGGAGAAGGGGTTATTGCCCTTTTCAACATGTTTTAATATTAAATAATTGATTATACAAAAGAAATTTATTATATCTAATTTTGTTTGTTTCATCGTGTTCGAAATAACGAGGGTTTATCTTTTGTTAACGCTTAAAGATCATCTTTGGATTGTATAATTTCATCTTTAATGCTTTCTCTCCATTCTCAAAAACTTTTTCCAAATGACGAACCCTCCACTTCAACAGAACGTTTATTTCTTTTTCTTTTTTTCACTAAACAGAGCTTATTTTTAATGTCTGAATTTCGTCAGCGAACCAACGCCCCCGGGTATCAACGATATGATGACGACGGATCCGAGAGAGACCCCCTCTACAGTGGAAAAAGAGGGTAAGTGTTTCTGAAATCCATCAAAACGATGCAGAAGTTTTCAATATTTAACATCACTTGTAATTTAAGTCGAAGTGTATTTTCTTGACAATTGCTGACAAAAATACAAAAATTTGTACGATGAATTTTGTGTCAAATACATTCATCACTCGTACTCGGTCATTATCAACGTACGATTTTCTTTCTCATAATAGCGACTTAGCAATCTTAAATTGATTCGAAACTGAAGTCAAATGTCTGTAATCATAAATATTTAAGCTTGGAGAATGATTCTTGTTATGATAAGATAAAGTTTCATTTTATCCATTTTAAAATTTAAAAAAAATGCATGCTGTTTTGTTTTCAAAACTTTGTAGAAAGTGCAGAACGAACACCGTACGTATCACACTTTCAGTGCTGTAGTTTGGATTTTGTTTTAAATATTGTGCTTTTTAACTTCACAATGTTTCGTCTGTAGGAAACGCGTATAACTTCATGCTCACAACATCAGGGGTCTTGCTATCAATTTCAGTTAAGTGTGAAGTTTTGCAATACGTCACGATCTTTTTCGACAGATGCATCCAGCGTAAACTATTCACGTGATTGGTCAACATTGACACAGAAATAGTCTGCTGTACGAGCAACCAATCAGCGATTAGAAGAAAGTTTCAGTCGTATACCTTAAGCGCAGCTGTCAAACTAGATCGTGACTTAACGTAAAACTTCACGCTTAACTGCAATCTATAGCAAGTCCACTCGTGGTCGCGGGACTCCTGACAAATTTCATCGGATATGATCAAATACTTAAAATTAAACCCAAAAATGAATTCATAATTTTCTTTTGTTTTTGTTTTATTGCATTTATTTATGTTTGCGTATGATTTTAGTGGAAAAGTTAAAATGCTATTGAAACTCTTTGCAGTGGATAAAAGTATTTTCCTTCACCAGAATCAAAGCTTTTCTAATCGAAATGTTACGTCTGCCTCAATGTTTTTTTTAACCTTTTTTTTTACTGTGAAATCACAAATTTTCGTGGTTTCAAGGTATGAAGAGACCCACGAATTTATGTCAACCTCGAAATGGAATTTTTCATATATACATTAATACTGAACAATTCTTTAACCACGCAATCAAATCCCCATGAACCCAATATATTTTCCTCAAACCACGAAAATTTGACCCCTCTAAAATATGTGATTTTACAGTACTTCGGCAGAAATTCTGTTTTGTCAAATCATGGTCATCTGGAAAACGTTGGAGCCACATGTGGGGATCAAAGTTTCACAAGGGACATGCATGCGGGGAAAATCTTGAGAAGTCTTCATGTAAAAAATGGGAAAAGGGTGGGACCACATTTGTGGATCAAAATTTCACATGCGAAAATATAAATATGGGGAAATTTTGCAAAAAGTTTAAAGGTCAAATGTCAAAGTCATACAGATTTGCAAGTGTTCAGTTAGTGAAGAATCAAATTTGTCCAAAACATGGCCCTTAGCAGGGGCGAGAACTCAAATGATGAAACATATTTACACGGCAATGTTTATTGTGAAACAATTTAATTATTAAATACCTTTTCATGAAAGCGCCTTTGCAACATCATATCGTTATATATGCAAGTATCCCCATGCATTGCAGATTCATAAAATATCAAGTCATGGCCCTTGGCGTTAGGGTTAGGCAAAAATAAGTATCCAGAAATCAAAGTGTTTCATAACATATAGGGAATTAAATAAAACTGTAATGACAAAAATCAAGGGCCACGCTAATTTTTTGATATGCAAACATTCCATTGTTGTGTGGATTCAAGTTTTCAACTAGAGTTACTGTGAGCAGTGAAGTCACTAAATGATACCCCCGCCTGCCATATAAATATAATGACAGTGTCCATGTTTTGCTATGGGAAACCCAAAATATATGTCGGATCAAAAAGAAAATTAGGAGGTGCACAATGGCAATATGTAATAAAGATTCTTTGAAAGTCTCATCAAATTTCATTCAATAGTATGAGAGGAGTTGCGGATAAGAGATGGGTACCCCAAAGCGTAACAGACGGACGGACATCCCAATTTCTATATACCCTCCCGCTTTTCAAGCAGGGGATATAATAACCAGTTTTCAGACCTCACTGAATGATAGCCTCCCATATGACTATACTGGCAAAGTCCACATTTTCTCTGGGAGACCTGAAATAATTTCAAGTCAAAGAGTAAATTAGGAGATGCACAATGGCATTAAGTAATAGAGAATCTGTGAAGGTACATGTATCATTTAATGTTAATCAGTGGCAGGAGGAGTTGCGAATAAGAGATGGATACCCCTCAATATAATAGAAAGAATGGCAGTGTCTCTGTTTTGTTATGGGAAACCCAAAATATATATATCCGATCAAAACGTAAATAGGAGTTGTACAATGGCTTCATGTAACAAAGTTTCCCAAAGAGGTGGGAATATTTTTGGTTTCTCAGAGCACAACATGGACACTGCCATTCTTTGCATAATATTGAAGGTTGACGATCTCTTATCCGCAACTTCTCCTATACCACAGAATAGCGTTTAATGGTACTTTCACAGATTCTTTTTTACATGATGCCATTGTACACCTCCTAATTTTTGATCTGATAATTTCGGGTATCTCAGAACAAAACATGGAATTTGCTATTATAATCATATGGGAGGCGAGAATATCATTAAATGAGCTTATTACTCACAGTACTTCTAGTTTAAATCATGGATCCTGCGGTTAGAGTTGAGCTAAAATTTGGGTTTTGAATTACCAGAAACACATCGGGAAAAATCTTTCAAAAAGCTGCCACATACGACAAGGCTACACAATTCATATTGATATTCATATATTTCCATGTAGTGTGAAATCAAGTTTGGTAAGGCATTATCCTTTGGGAGTTATGATTTGGCCACAACGTGTGGACAATATTTTCTATGGAGTTAATTTTTTGAAAACATTCATTTAAAGAAACAACAGGCCCAGGGTAACTCAGGTCAGGAGGTGAGCATCGTGGGCACTTGTCCTGTGATTTTTTTTTATTGTGGTGATTTTTATATTACTTTTATTAAGCTCACTCAAGCCGAAGGCTCAAGTGTTTCCTGATAAACATTTGACCGTTATCTGTCATCAAAACGTTCTCATTTTCAATTTTTATCTTAGAAACAAATTTTAACAAACATTGCTACAAAGCATCCTTTTGTTGAAAGGGATTTAAATTTATCCAAACTAGAGGTACTGTGAGCAATGAGCTCACTAAATGATACCCCCCACCTCCCATATGAATAGCAGTGTCCATGTTTTGCACTGGAAAATCAAAGATATATGTCAGATCAAAAAGTGAAATAGGAGGTGCACAATGGCCATATGTAATTAAGAATCTGTGAAAGTTTCATTAAATTTCCTTCAGTGGTATGAGAGGAGTTGCGGATAAGAGATGGGTACCCCAAAGCGTAACAGACGGACGGACGGACGGAAATACCGATTACTATATACCCTCCCACTTTTCAAGCGGGGGGTATAATGAAGGGCCATATCTTGATAATTAAGAATACCAGTAGCTAAAAGTTTCAAGGCCTCTTTTCAAGAACAACTGAACCAGAAATAAGGAGAAATCTATCTGAGAACTTTATGCAAAAACTGTATTTTAAAGTTTATTCAAATCATGCCCGGGTAATACTTTTAAGAAAATTGAATAAATACAACATGAAGATACTGGCATATGAATATAACAGACTTGAATCCTGCTGCTCTTTAGAAGAATTTTAAAGATTTCTTCAAATTCTTTAAATAAGTTTATGTACCAAACTAAAATTACCCATGTGTCTCAAGGAGGGACATGGAACTGTTTGTATGAAATATATGGAGATAACGAACAGTAATCAAAGTCCATAAAACTAAACAAAATAAGAGCAGAGCTAATATGGACCTCCAAAACATCAGAGGTGCATGAGATCAGGTGCCGTGGAGAAGTGAGCATCCCCTGCCGAGCGGACACACCTGCCGTATCCTCCTTATTATCGGGAAATACTGAAAAATCTATCTACAGTGTGTATATAATGACCTAATTAGTACGAAAAACGTCAGTCACCATTTGACTTAATGATACATTGTATTTGCTGACAAGGTAATTCTAAATCGACCATAGAAGGAGGATATGGAGATAACGAACAGTATTCAATCTAAAAGTCCATAAAACAATACAAAATAAGAGCAGAGCATACACGGACCTCCGAAACATCAGAGGTGGGATCAGGTGCCATGGATGAGTGAGCATCCCCTGCCGACCGGTCACACCCGTCATGATTAGGAAATAACGGAAAAATCCGTCGTCAATTCAGTGTATAAATAATGGACTTACAATACTGGTAAGTACATGTATGAAAAACGTCAGTCAGCATTTGACTCAATGATAAATTGTATTGCTGACAAGGTCATTGTATCGACCATAGAACTTACGAAACGATGACTTTAAACGAGCGGCTGATATTCTTGTTTCATCAACTTGCTGGTCAATAATTTATCTCGTTTTAGAAATTGTTCATACGTAGAGCAAGCTCTTGCGTATCGAATCAACCGAGATATATACACTGATGAAGGTATATTGCGGCATAAGTAAGGGAAGTTGACGATAAAGTCATCACGTTTATCATATAGCTTGGTTGTTAGATTACCATCATTAACGCCCTTTTCAAGTAAAATATCCAAGTATGAAACAGATGTGGACTCTGTGATATCTTTTATCTCAAGCTCACCAGGATGTATCGTATCGACGTAGGAATGGAAATTACCATTGTTAATTGACAATACGTCATGGATATATCTAAATGTCGAGTTGAAGGCCACAGCAAGAGTTTTCTTCTTTTCACGCACAAGATTTTGCACAAATTCTGCTTCATATGAATATAAAAATAGGTCCGCTAGAACTTGAAAAATCGGGACTTGTTGATATTCATTTTTCATTGATTTGCTAACTTACCTTGTTTCAAAATTTTTTTGTACGTATGCTCTTTTGTATCAAATCAAATGAGATTATTATTTGTCGTGTCACTTTAATAAATTTTAATAATTCGGGGACCCTTTTTATGACCCTTGTAACTTCGAGAGTTGTAGACGATACAAACATTTTTACAGGTATGTCTTGTAAAATATAGGGCATATCTTCAAAATTTTTACTTAAAGAACAGCAGGGCTATACAGATAATCAATAAAGTGTTGCGTCGAATCCCTTAAAATTCAGTTACCATTCATATCCACAAATTCGTAAAAGTAACAGAAAAAAGAAACATTTTTTCCTTCCTCTTTTACATCACAGTAACCTTGTTCAAGTAAATCAGATTGATCTTTAATGAATTGATCAATAACACTTGAGATATTGCTTACTGTACTTTTACAT